AGGTGTCTAACTGTGACCTGATCCTCAAGAGGGGGATCTATGAACTATAGGTGTCTAAGCGTGACCTGATCCTCGTGGGATCTATGAACTATGTGTCTAAGGTGTCTAAAAAAAGGTGTCTAAGCTTGATCCCTGGGATCTATGAACTATAGGGTCTAAGCGTGACCTGATCCTCGTGGGATCTACGAACTATAGGTGTCTAAGCGTGACCTGATCCTCGTGGGATCTACGAACTATAGGTGTCTAACCGTGACCTGATCCTCGTGGGGGGGAACTTTAGGTGTCTAAGGCCGTGACCTGATCCTCGTGGGATCTATGAACTATAGGTGTCTAAGCGTGACCTGATCCTCGTGGGATCTATGCCAACTATAGGTGTCTAACCGTGACCTGATCCTCGTGGGATCTATGAACTATAGGTGTCTAAAGGTGACCTGATTTGGATCGTGGGACTATGAACTATAGGTGGGAGTCTAACCGTGACCTGATCCTCGTGGGATCTATGAACTATAGGTGTCTAAAAATGGGAAATAGTGGGGGGGGGGATCCCATGACCTAAGCAGAAAATTAAATTCAATAAAGAAGATAGAAAACATTATCTGACAATCAAAATATTACAGATATTGCTACAGATAAAAATTCAACAAAACTCCAGCATGGAAAAATTAAATAAAATGAATGGCATATAGGAAAAAGGAAAAAAACAAAATGGAAAAAGAATAAAATAAAAAATAAAAAAAGAAGATTGGCATATAGAAAAAAAGGAAAATAAAATGTGTAAAAAGAATTAAATAAAAATATTTAAGAATTCATAAAAAAATAATTAAATACATAAAAAGATAGAAATAGGTTAGAAATATTGCTACTTAAAAAAAAAATTAAATAAAATTCCAATTTGACAAAACTAAGGCAGCATGAAAAATAAAAAAAAATGGCATACAGGAAAAGGAAAAAAAAAATGGAATGGAATAAAATAAAAAAATTAAAAAAAAAAAGAAAGAATGGCATATAGAAAAAAGGAAAATAAAATGTGGAAAAAGAATTAAATAAAAAAATTTAAGAATTCAATAAAAAGAATTAAATAAATAAAAAGATAGAAATAGGTTTGAGATATTGCTACTTAGAAAAAAAAATTAAATAACATTCCAAATTGACAAGATTAACAACAGGCAGCATGCAAAAATAATATAATAAAAAAAAAAAATAAGAATGGCATATAGAAAAAAAAGAAAAAAAAAGTAGAAAAATAATTAAATAAAAAGAATTAAGAATTCAATAAAAAAATTAAATAAATAAAAACATAGAAATAAATTAGAGATATTGCTACTTAAATGTTGAAGAAAGGGGAAAAAATGGAAAAAAAGAATTAAATAAAAAGAAAAAAATTAAGAACTCAATAACTAAAATTAAATAAATAAAAAGATAGAAATAGGTTAGAGATATTGCTACTTAAAAAAATAAATATTTAAATAAAATTCCAAATTGACAAAATTAACAATAGGCAGCATGCAAAAAAATTAAGAATAAAACATTAATGGCATATAGAAAGAAGGAAAAAAATGTGTGGAAAAAAAATAAATGAAAAAAATTAAGAATTCAATAAAAATAATAAATAAATAAAAAAAGATAGAAATAGGTTTGAGATATTGCTACTTAAAAAGAAAAAAAAAATTTCAAATTGACAAAATTAACAACAGGCAGCATGCAAAAAATAAAAAAAGAAGAATGGCATAAAGAAAAAGGGAAAAAAAAAAGTGGAAAAAAAAAATAAAAAGATTAAATGAAAAGAATTAAGAATTAAATAAAAAAAATTAAATAAATAAAAAAAGCTAGAAATAGGGTAGAGATATTTAATTTTTATTTAAAATAAAAATTAAATAAAATTCCAAATTGAAAAAATTAACAACAGGCAGCATGCAAAATAAAAAATAAAAAAATGAATGGCATATAGAGAAAAGGAAATAATTTTGGAAAAAGAATGAAATAAAAAGATAGAAATAGGTTAGAGATATCGCTACTTAAAAAAAAAAGTAAATAAAATAGGTAGCAGCATATAAAAAATAAAAAAAAGAAGAATGGCATATAGAAAAAAGAAAAAAAAAAAAAAAGGGAAAAAAAATTCAATAAAAATAATTTAATTTAATAAATAAAAAGATAGAAATAGGTTTGAGATATTGCTACTTAAAAAAAAAAAAAAAATAAAATTCCAAATTGACAAAAAAATAACAACAGGCAGCATGCAAAAAATAAAAAATAAAAAAGAAGAATAGCAAATAGAAAAAAAAAAAAAAAAAATGTGGAAAAAGAATTAAATTAAAAAAAAATTAAGAATGCAATAAAAAATAATTAAATAAATAAAAATATTTCATTAAAAAGATAGAAATAGGTTAGAAATATTGCTACTTAAAAAAAAAATTCCAAAGTGACAAAATTAACAAAGGCAGCAGGCAAAAAAAAATAAAAAATGAAGAATGGCATATAGAAGAAAAGGAAAAAAAATGTGGAAAAAGAAATGAACTAAAAAAAAAAAAAAGAAGAATTCAATAAAAATAAAAAAATAAAAAAATATTTCATTAAAAGATAGAAATAGGTTAGAAAAAATATTGCTACTTTAAAAAAAAATTCCAAAGTGACAAAATTAACAACAGGCAGCAGGCAAAAAAAATAAAAAATGAAGAATGGCATATAGAAAAGGAAAAAAAAATGTGGAAAAAAAAACTAAAAAAAAAAAAAGAAGAATTCAATAAAAATAATTAAATAAATAAAAAATATTTAAATAAAAAGATAAAAATAGGTTAGAAATATTGCTACTTAAAAAAAAAATTAAATAAAATTCCAAATTGACAAAACTAACAAAAGGCAGCATGCAAAATTAAAATAAAATGAAAGGCATATAGGAAAAAGGAATATAAAAGTGGTAAAAGAATAAAAGAAAAAAAAAAAAAAGAATGGCATATAGAAAAAAGGAAAATAAAATGTGGAAAAAGAATTAAATAAAAAGAATTAAGAATTCAATAAAAATAATTAAATAAATAAAAAGATAGATATAGGTTTAGAGATATTGCTACTTAAAAGAAATAATTAAATAAAATTCCAAATTGACAAAATTAACAACAGGCAGCATGCAAAAAAAAAAAAAAAGAAGAATGGCATATAGAAAAAAAGGGAAAAAAAATGTGGAAAAAGAGTTAAATAAAAAAAAAATTAAGAATTCAATAAAAATAATTAAATAAATAAAAATATTTAAATAAAAAGATAGAAATAGGTTAGAAATATTGCTACTTAAAAAAAAATTAAATAAAATTCCAAAGTGACAAAATTAACAAAAGGCAGCATGCAAAAAATAAAAAATTAAAAAAGAAGAATGGCATATAGAAAAAAAGGGAAAAAATGTGGAAAAAGAATTCAATAAAAAAAAATTAAGAACTCAATAAAAATAATTAAATAAATAAAAATATTTAAATAAAAAGATAGAAATAGGTTAGAAATATTGCTACTTAAAAAAAAAAAAAAAAAAATTCCAAATTGACAAAACTAACAACAGGCAGCATGCAAAATAAAAAAAAAAAAATAAAAAATGAAGAATGGCATATAGAAGAAAAAAAAAAAAGTAGAAGATACATTAAATAAAATAATAATTTGAATTGCTCATAGTGTGAGAAGCACAGGATACAAGTCATGGTTGGTCAGGATCTGGGCTCACCTGAGGTTGCTAGGAAGAGCAGTAGGATGATGGAGCTCCCTGGTGGGGACATGTTGAGCATCTTCTAGAGCTGCTGCTGGTGAATGTGGTGCACGGGGGGTCACCCCTATGGGAATTTATACCCTGGTGTCCAGGACTCTGCCCTCTGCCCCCCACGCTGCCCCCTGCCCCTGGCCCCCTCCTCACACAACATCACGTCCATCTCTTCGCTCACCTCACTGCCTTGTCATCTGTGAGTCTTCGAGGCGCCAGGGATGAGGACAAACGGACTCCTGGGACCATAGGGGAGAGGAAAGGAGGGGGAGGGAAGAAGAGATGTCTGTCCTGGTGAGGAAGGAAAGGGTGCTTACAGATGACTCCAGCAAGTGGTGTGTGAGGACTGAAGGCGGACTCTGAGTAGGCTGCGCAGAAGAGTCGTCCTCACAATTCCCACCACGTCTACTGACCGATCTGAGAACAGAAATCGTCTATACGGGCCACACGGGCTTCTAATATCGATTGTTAGTGGTTCATTTAATGAACTAGAATGTCCCTCACATTGGGGGTCAGTGGGAAGAATGTCCCTTACATTGGGGATTAGTGGGAAGAATGTCCCTTACATTGGGGATTAGTGGGAAGAATGTCCCTTACATTGGGGTCAGTGGGAAGAATGTCCCTTACATTGGTGATCAGTGGGAAGAATGTCCCTTACATTGGGGATTAGTGGGAAGAATGTCCCTTACATTGGGGGTCAGTGGGAAGAATGTCCCTTACATTGGTGGTCAGTGGGAAGATTGTCCCTTACATTGGTGATCAGTGGGAAGAATGTCCCTTACATTGGTGATCTGTGGGAAGAATGTCCCTTACATTGGGGGTCAGTGGGAAGAATGTCCCTTACATTGGTGGTCAGTGGGAAGAATGTTCCTTACATTGGTGGTCAGTGGGAAGAATGTCCCTTACATTGGGGATCAGTGGGAAGAATGTCCCTTACATTGGGGGTCAGTGGGAAGAATGTCCCTTACATTGGTGATCAGTGGGAAGAATGTCCCTTACATTGGTGATCAGTGGGGAGAATGTCCCTTACATTGGTGGTCAGTGGGGAGAATGTCCCTTACATTGGTGGTCAGTGGGGAGAATGTCCCTTACATTGGTGGTCAGTGGGAAGAATGTCCCTTACATTGGTGGTCAGTGGGAAGAATATCCCTTACATTGGGGGTCAGTGGGAAGAATGTCCCTTACATTGGGGGTCAGTGGGAAGAATGTCCCTTACATTGGTGGTCGGTGGGAAGAATATCCCTTACATTGGGGGTCAGTGGGAAGAATGTCCCTTACATTGGGGGTCAGTGGGAAGAATGTCCCTTACATTGGGGGTCAGTGGGAAGAATGTCCCTTACATTGGTGGTCAGTGGGAAGAATGTCCCTTACATTGGTGGTCAGTGGGAAGAATGCCCCTTACATTGGGGTCAGTGGGAAGAATGTCCCTTACATTGGTGGATCAGTGGGAAGAATGTCCCTTACATTGGGGTCAGTGAGAAGAATGTCCCTTACATTGGGGGTCAGTGGGAAGAATGTCCCTTACATTGGTGGTCAGTGGGAAGAATGTTCCTTACATTGGGGGTCAGTGGGAAGAATGTCCCTTACATTGGGGGTCAGTGGGAAGAATGTCCCTTACATTGGGGGTCAGTGGGAAGAATGTCCCTTACATTGGGGATCAGTGGGAAGAATGTCCCTTACATTGGGGGTCAGTGGGAAGAATGTTCCTTACATTGGGGGTCAGTGGGAAGAATGTCCCTTACATTGGGGGTCAGTGGGAAGAATGTCCCTTACATTGGTGATCAGTGGGAAGAATGTCCCTTACATTGGGGATTAGTGGGAAGAATGTCCCTTACATTGGGGGTCAGTGGGAAGATTGTCCCTTACATTGGTGATCAGTGGGAAGAATGTCCCTTACATTGGTGATCTGTGGGAAGAATGTCCCTTACATTGGGGGTCAGTGGGAAGAATGTCCCTTACATTGGTGGTCAGTGGGAAGAATGTTCCTTACATTGGTGGTCAGTGGGAAGAATGTCCCTTACATTGGGGATCAGTGGGAAGAATGTCCCTTACATTGGGGGTCAGTGGGAAGAATGTCCCTTACATTGGTGATCAGTGGGAAGAATGTCCCTTACATTGGTGATCAGTGGGGAGAATGTCCCTTACATTGGTGGTCAGTGGGGAGAATGTCCCTTACATTGGTGGTCAGTGGGAAGAATGTCCCTTACATTGGGGGTCAGTGGGGAGAATGTCCCTTACATTGGTGGTCAGTGGGGAGAATGTCCCTTACATTGGTGGTCAGTGGGAAGAATGTCCCTTACATTGGTGGTCAGTGGGAAGAATATCCCTTACATTGGGGGTCAGTGGGAAGAATGTCCCTTACATTGGGGGTCAGTGGGAAGAATGTCCCTTACATTGGTGGTCGTGGGAAGAATATCCCTTACATTGGGGGTCAGTGGGAAGAATGTCCCTTACATTGGGGGTCAGTGGGAAGAATGTCCCTTACATTGGGGGTCAGTGGGAAGAATGTCCCTTACATTGGTGGTCAGTGGGAAGAATGTCCCTTACATTGGTGGTCAGTGGGAAGAATGCCCCTTACATTGGGGGTCAGTGGGAAGAATGTCCCTTACATTGGTGATCAGTGGGAAGAATGTCCCTTACATTGGGGGTCAGTGGGAAGAATGTCCCTTACATTGGGGGTCAGTGGGAAGAATGTCCCTTACATTGGTGGTCAGTGGGAAGAATGTTCCTTACATTGGGGGTCAGTGGGAAGAATGTCCCTTACATTGGGGGTCAGTGGGAAGAATGTCCCTTACATTGGGGGTCAGTGGGAAGAATGTCCCTTACATTGGTGATCAGTGGGAAGAATGTACCTTACATTGGGGATCAGTGGGAAGAATGTCCCTTACATTGGGGGTCAGTGGGAAGAATGTTCCTTACATTGGGGGTCAGTGGGAAGAATGTCCCTTACATTGGTGGTCAGTGGGAAGAATGTTCCTTACATTGGGGGTCAGTGGGAAGAATGTCCCTTACATTGGGATCAGTGGGAAGAATGTCCCTTACATTGGGGGTCAGTGGGAAGAATGTCCCTTACATTGGTGATCAGTGGGAAGAATGTCCCTTACATTGGTGATCAGTGGGAAGAATGTCCCTTACATTGGGGTGGGTCAGTGGGGAGAATGTCCCTTACATTGGTGGTCAGTGGGGAAGAATGTCCCTTACATTGGGGGTCAGTGGGGAAGAATGTCCCTTACATTGGTGGTCAGTGGGGAGAATGTCCCTTACATTGGTGGTCAGTGGGAAGAATGTCCCTTACATTGGTGGTCAGTGGGAAGAATATCCCTTACATTGGGGGTCAGTGGGAAGAATGTCCCTTACATTGGGGTCAGTGGGAAGAATGTCCCTTACATTGGTGGTCAGTGGGAAGAATATCCCTTACATTGGGGGTCAGTGGGAAGAATGTCCCTTACATTGGGGGTCAGTGGGAAGAATGTCCCTTACATTGGGGGTCAGTGGGAAGAATGTCCTTACATTGGTGGTCAGTGGGAAGAATGTCCCTTACATTGGTGGTCAGTGGGAAGAATGAATGTCCCCTTACATTGGGGGGTCAGTGGGAAGAATGTCCCTTACATTGGTGATCAGTGGGAAGAATGTCCCTTACATTGGGGGTCAGTGAAGAAGAATGTCCCTTACATTGGGGGTCAGTGGGAAGAATGTCCCTTACATTGGTGGTCAGTGGGAAGAATGTCCCTTACATTGGGGGTCAGTGGGAAGAATGTCCCTTACATTGGGGGTCAGTGGGAAGAATGTCCCTTACATTGGGGGTCAGTGGGAACATTGGGGTCAGTGGGAAGAATGTCCCTGGTGATCATGGGTGTACCTCAGTGGGAATCAGAAGAATGTCCCTTACATTGGGGGTCAGTGGGAAGAATGTTCCTTACATTGGGGGTCAGTGGGAAGAATGTCCCTTACATTGGTGGTCAGTGGGAAGAATGTCCCTTACATTGGTGATCAGTGGGAAGAATGTCCCTTACATTGGTGATCAGTGGGAAGAATGTCCCTTACATTGGGGGTCAGTGGGAAGAATGTCCCTTACATTGGTGATCAGTGGGAAGAATGTCCCTTACATTGGGGGTCAGTGGGAAGAATGTCCCTTACATTGGTGGTCAGTGGAAGAACGTCCTTTGCTGTGTGTGATACATTGGACCTATAGAAGTCAGGCGTGGTTCTGATGGATATACGAGGGGGGCGTGTCTTCATCCAAAGGAGATACTTAATGAAGGTATAGTGTAGGCCAGGGGTAGGCAACCTGAGAGCCGCAGGACTACAAGTTCCATCATGCCTCTGCAAGTCATAGCTGTAACTGTCAGTTTTGTCATCTTTGCAATGCCTCATGGGAAATGTAGTTCCACAACAGCTAGAGAGCCGCAGGTTGCCTACCCCTGGTGTAGGTGAACCTTGTTCTGGTCCTAGGTTGCTGCCTCTCTAATTGCAACAAAAAAAGAACAATCTGCAGAAGATAGACCCCCCGGGTGGGTATTGAGGAGGGACTTGTATAAAAATTCATATGACTCAGAGGTCTTTATTCATTGTTTATTGGTTAAGATCATCAAGTACCTCCAACGCATTTTTGGGGGAAAGGCCTTCCCCTTCCTCAGGGCTTGAGGTTGAGGTTACTCTGCCGGCCATTCATACTGCCAATAAGATGTATTTGATGCTTCAGCTTCATGTGTGGCAGAAAACTAACACTGCACATCACCCTGAACACACCATCCCCACCGTGAAACATGGTGGTGGCAGCATCATGTGGTGGGGATGCTTTTCTTCAGCAGGGACAGGGAAGCTGGTCAGAGTTAATAGGAAGATGGATGTAGCCAAATACAGGGCAATCTTAGAAGAAAACCTGTTAGAGTCTGCAGAAGACTTGAGACCGGGGCGGAGGTTCCCCTTCCAGCAGGACAACACCCAAAGCCTACAGCCGGAGCTACAATGGAATGGTTCAGATCAAAGCATCTTCCTGTGTTAGAATGGCCCAGTCACAGTCCAGACCCAAATTCAATGGAGAATCTGTGGCCAGACCTGAAAATTGCTGTTCCCAGACGCCCTCCATCCAATCTGACAGCTTGAGGGATTCTGCAAAGAAAAACGGGCAGAAATGTCCCTCTCTAGATGTGCAAAGAGACATCCCCAAAAAGACTTGCAGCTGGAATGGCAGCCAAAGGGGGTCCTACAAAGTATTGACTCCGGGGGCCGAATACAAATGCCGCCACACTTTTCACAGATTTATTGGTCACAAATGTTGGAAACCATTTCTCATTTTCCTTCCACTTCACAATTATGTGTCAATTTGTGTCCATCACATCCAATCACGATAAATACATTGTAACAACATGGGGGGCATTTCAGGGGAGGGGAATACATTGTAACATGACAACATGGGGGGACATTTCAGGGGGGGACTTTTTCAAGGCACTGTACCTCTGCTACACAGCCAGGTGGGTGACAACCTTATCTCCTGGTTCAGTAATGTAGCTTCCATTGTAACGTGAACAACACGGGGAACATATTGTAACACATTGTAACGTGACAACACGGGGAACATATTGTAACACATTGTAACGTGAAAACACGGGGAAACATATTTGTAATACATTGTAACGTGACAACACGGGGGACATATTGTAACACATTGTAACGTGACAACAAAACATATTGTAATACATTGTAAACGTGACAACACGGGGAAACATGGTAACACATTGTAACGTGACAACACGGGGAACATATTGTAACACATTGTAACGTGACAACACGGGGAAACATATAACACATTGTAACGTTGACAACACGGGGAACATATTGTAACACATTGTAACGTGACAACACGGGGGGACATATTGTAACACATTGTAACGTGACAACACGGGGAACATATTGTAACACATTGTAACGTGACAACACGGGGAACATATTGTAACACGTAACGTGACAACACGGGGAACATATTGTAATAACATTGTAACGTGACAACACGGGGAAACATATTGTAACACATTGTAACGTGACAACACGGGGAACATATTGTAACACATTGTAACGTGACAACACGGGGGGACATATTGTAACACATTGTAACGTGACAACACGGGGGACATATTGTAACACATTGTAACGTGACAACACGGGGGGACTTTACATATTGTAAACACATTTGTAAACGTGACAACACGGGGGACATATTGTAATACATTGTAACGTGACAACACGGGGGACATATTGTAACACATTGTAACGTGACAACACGGGGGACATATTGTAACACATTGTAACGTGACAACACGGGGAACATATTGTAACACATTGTAACGTGACAACACGGGGAACATATTGTAACACATTGTAACGTGACAACACGGGTAACGTGACAACACGGGGAACATATTATAATACATTGTAACGTGACAACACAGGGAACATATTGTAAATACATTGTAACGTGACAACACGGGGGACATATTATAACACATTGTAACGTGACAACACGGGGAACATATTATAATACATTGTAACGTGACAACACGGGGGACATATTGTAACACATTGTAACGTGACAACACGGGGAACATATTGTAACATTTGTAACGTGACAACACGGGGACATATTGTAATCATTGTAACGTGACAACACGGGGAACATATTGTAACACATTGTAACGTGACAACACGGGGGACATATTGTAACACATTGTAACGTGACAACACGGGGGACATATTGTAACACATTGTAACGTGACAACACGGGGGAACATATTGTAATACATTGTAACGTGACAACACGGGGAACATATTGTAACACATTGTGTAACGTGACAACACGGGGACATATTATAAATACATTGTAACGTGACAACACAGGGGAAATATTGTAATACATTGTAACGTGACAACACGGGGGACATATTGTAACACATTGTAACGTGACAACACGGGGAACATATTATAAATACATTGTAACGTGACAACACGGGGGACATATTGTAACACATTGTAACGTGACAACACGGGGAACATATTGTAACATATTGTAACGTGACAACACGGGGGACATATTGTAATACATTGTAACGTGACAACACGGGGAACATATTGTAAATACATTGTAACGTGACAACACGGGGGACATATTGTAAACACATTGTAACGTGACAACACGGGGGACATATTGTAACACATTGTAACGTGACAACACGGGGGACATATTGTAACACATTGTAACGTGACAACACGGGGAACGTAATACATTGTAACGTGACAACACGGGGGACATATTGTAACACATTGTAACGTGACAACACGGGGAACATATTGTAATACATTGTAACGTGACAACACGGGGAACATATTGTAATACATTGTAACGTGACAACACGGGGATATTTCAAGGGGAAGGAAGACTTTATCAAGGTGCTGTAGGCATTGTGGGGAAACTCAACGGACATAAATGTTACAAAAGACCGCCCTGCACCTGTACATGGATGTGAATACCGTACACGTGGTGCTGCGCTGCATTGTCAAACAAAGAGCAGCTGCATTCTTCCGTGCATCGAGAGCCCATTCGAAATGAACGGGCCGCCTTAAAGCGCACGAAAATGCGAATGCATGAACGAGCCCTCGCACCGTCCATCTTTTGTCGTATAAGACAGGAAAAAAAATCGCTTTGTCACGGCTCAATATGACAGGGGCGGTAAAAGACGACTCCAAATGTTAGCAGAGCGGCAACTTAAGAAGAGAACGTGCAGATGGGGACACCAGATACGAGGCCCCTCCCACCAGACGCCGAAGCGTCGCCATGCTTTTATTTCAGCAGTCGCTGCTGCTCCTTCTTCTGTCTGCCGGCTAATGACATGGTGACGTTTTTTGATGCCCCTGATTGTCTTTGATGCGGCCCACCGAGGCCCCGAGCCATTGTTCTCGACCTCCGCCCGCGTCCTCGCTCCCCCTGCCTGATTGGCTGTCGATCTTTCATTGCCCTCCACTGATAAGGGCACTCCGAACGGTCTGGCTCCGGATGCCAGCTGCACCCAGGGAGAAGGAAAATAGGATTTTGTGACGTGAGCGGCCCCTCCAGCGTCGTGCGGGAATGTCAGCGCCTGGGGTTAGATTGAGGAGCAAAAAACACGGCCCACGTGCCGCTTGTCAGCAAGAAGTCCAGCGGGTTGTGCGCAAAAACCACCTCGGAGTCGCTGATTAATTTACAGCTGAGTTTTTAAAGTTTTTTTTTTTGGGGGGGGGAGGGGATAGCCTGACCGTGCTATATATATATATATTTTTTTTTATATATATATACTATATATATATATATATATATATATACCCCCGTGTGCTAAAAATAGAATCAGAAGCCTTAACAAACGTACAATATCTTGGCATATATATAAAGTTGGATGAATTCAAATATCGATTGATATGCTGCTTCATATCTGACTGTCCTATAAATACTGCTGTCTGACTGCAGCTCATGGGAGCAATTCTCAGTTCTTCTTAGCCCAACTTATACTTGTGGTTGGGGGGGGGGGCGGTAAAAAAAAATGATGGCTGAGATGACACCCCCCAGAGGAGAGAGCCTGACACCAACCAACACCAGACACCCCCCAGAGGAGAGAAAAAAAAACACACCAACCAACACCAGAAACACACCCCCTGTGGAGAGAGCCTGACCACCAACCAACACCAAAAAAAAAAGAGGAGAGAGCCTGACACCAACCAACACCAAACACCCCCCTGTGGAGAGAGCCTGACAACAACACCAGACACCCCCAGAGGAGAGAGCCTATGAACACCAAACACCCCCCCCCTGCGAGAGCATGAAAGAAAGAGCCTGACACCAACCAACACCAGACACCCCCCTGTGGAGAGAGCCTGAAACCAACCAACAAAAGACACCCCCAAAAGGAAAAAGCCTGACACCAAAACACCAACCAAACCAACAAAACCCTAAACAAAAAAAGCAAAAAAACCAAAAAAAACAAAAGACAAAAAAAAAAAAAAAGAGAGCCTGACAAAAAAAAAAAAACCCCCCTGTGGAGACACACCAAACAAAAAAACGGAGACAGCCTGACACCAAAAAACACCAGACACCCCCCAGAGGAGAAAGCCTGACACCAACCAACAAATAAACACCCCCCTGTGGAGAGAAAAAAAAAAAAGAAAAAAAAAACCAAAAAAAAAAAAAAAGCCTGAAACCAAAAAAAAAAAGACAAAAAAAAAAAGAGCCTGACACCAAAAAACACCAGACACCCCCCTGTGGAGAAAGCCTGACACAAAAAAAAAAAAAAAAAAAACCCCCCTGTGGAGAAAGCCTGACACTTAAAAAAACCAGAAAAAGAGAGCCTGAACCAACACAAAAAAAAGCAAAAAAAATAAAAAAAGAGAGAGCCTGACAAAAAAACACAAAAAAAAAAAAAAACAAAAAAAAAAAAAAAACACAAAAAAACAAAAAAAAAAAAAAAACAGAAAAAAAGAGAAAATGAAACTAAAAACACCAGACAAAAAAAAAAAAAGAGAAAAAACAAAACCAAAAAAAAAAAAAAAAAAAAAAAAAATGGAGAGAAAACAAAAACCAACAAAAGACAAAAAAAAAAAAAAGAAAAAACAAAAACTAACATATAAAAAAAAAAAAAAATATTGAAAATGGCCAAAAAAAAGTAAAAAAA